CCACCCACGCACCCATGCACCCATTTGCATACGCATTTATTGACTTGGTCACACCAAGAAGTAATTTTTAAAAAATTTGTGTACGTATTTGTGATTATGTGTGCAATTCGTGTAAATAAACCTTTAATTTGTATGCAATTTTCACGAAATTAGTACCAAAATGTTGCAAATTTTTGCAATCACAAACATGTACACAAATTTATTTAAAATTACTTATTGGTGTGACCAAGTCAATAAATGCGTATGCACATGGGTGCATGGGTGCGTGGGTGGATGAATAGGATGATAAAAATTTGTTAAAATCATAGTAGCCATCCTCAACAAAATTTGAGTACAAATTTCGAAAAAGTCTGTGAATAAATGTGTGAATGCGTGGGTGAATGCGTGGGTGGGATAAAACTTTAAAAAACCACACAGCAGCTTTCTCAAAAAAATTTGCAACATTTTTGTACCAATTTCGTAAAAATATTGGTCCATAAATGCGCACGCGCGTGGATGAATGCGTGGGTGGAGGTGTAACAATTGAAAAAACCACATCGTCGCCATCTTCAAAAAATTTGCAACATTTTGGTACCAATTTTAAAAAAATCGGTTTATAAATATACGATTGCGTGGGTGGGTGCGTGGGTGGAGGCGTAAACTTAAAAAAATAAAACACCAGCTTTGTCAGAAAAATTTGCAACATTTTGGTACTAATTTCGTGAAAATTGGTCATAAATGCGCATGCGCGTGGGTGGGTGCGTGGGTGGAGGTGTAACACTTGAAAAAACCGCATCGTCGCCATCTCCAAAAAATTTGCAACATTTTTGTACCAATTTCGTAAAAATATTGGTCCATAAATGCGCACGCGCGTGGATGATTGCGTGGGTGGAGGCGTAAACTTAAAAAAATAAAACACCAGTTTCCTCAGAAAAATTTGCAACATTTTGGTACTAATTTCGTGAAAATTGGTCCATAAATGCGCATGCGTGTGGGTGGATGCGTGGGTGGATGCGTGGGTGGAGGTGTTACACTTAAAAAAACCGCATCGTCGCTATCTCCAAAAATTTTGCAACATTTTGATACCATGTGTTCAGAAATATTGCAAAAAAAATTTTTTTTCGCAAAAACATACCCTCCTCTGAAGAAAAAAAATAAAAATAAAAAAATTAAAAAAAAAAACCCACAGCAGCCACCCCCGAAAAATTTGCAACATTTTGGTACCAATTTCGAGACAATCGGTCCACAAATGCGGAAGTAGTTCGGGCACAGACAGACAGACAGACAGACGGACGGTGCTTATATATATAGATTAAATTAATCCCTCTCTCTCTTCTCTCTCTCTCTCTCTCTCTCTCTCTCTCTCCCTCTCCCTCCTCAATATTATATATAATAATATAATATTATAAATAAATATTATGTAATATAATCATTTTTTGCAGTAAAACAGAAAGCTCGATGGGCAAGAGCCGGAAGAGGTACCAATTTAAAAAAAATCGGTTCATAAATATACGATTGCGTGGGTGGGTGCGTGGGTGGAGGGGTAAACTTAAAAAAATAAACCAGTAGTTTTCTCAAAAAAATTTGCAACATTTTGGTACTAATTTCGTGAAAATTGGTCCATAAATGCGCATGCGCGTGGGTGGATGCGTGGGTGGGTGCGTGGGTGGGGGTGTAACACTTAAAAAAACCGCATCGTCGTTATCTCCAAAAAAATTTGCAACATTTTGATACCATGTGTTCAGAAATATTGCAAAAAAAGATTAAACATACCCTCCTCTGTAGAAAAAAAAAAAAATTAAAAAATTAAAAAAAAACCCCACAGCAGCCACCCCCAAAAAATTTGCAACATTTTGGTACCAGTTTCACGAATATCGGTCCACAAATGCGGAAGTAGTTCGCGTACATACATACAGACAGACGGTGCTTATATATATAGATATATATATATATATATATATATATATGTTTTAGAGTGCGGAGGATTAATCGGAAATTTGAAAACTAATTCGTCGAAGTAAGAAAGTTTTTGCCTAAGTACAGAGAGAATTTCGCCGTATGATGTAACTGCAATGGACCAACTGCGAAAATGAGCATTAATCGGAATGTCTTCTTTTTCTTCATGTAATTATACACTGGAAAAAATTATTAAATTAATAATAAAATTAATTAAATTAATAATAAAAATTAATTAAATTAATAATATTTATTGCAATACTGCCTAATAAATCATTTATTTGAAACAAATAATTTATCTGTTTTGAAACGAATTTTCTTATATCAAATAAATATTTTTCACATCAAATCAATATATAATATTATATAGTTTCAAATATAATATTTATTAGACAGCTTTAAAATAAACATTTATTTATAAATACAATAAATTTGTATTTCCAGTATATAAAATAAGGGTAATGTATAAGTTAAATGATGTTTTAAACATTATTCATTTCATATGGATTTTATCGAATCTATATATTATATTAGCATGCTATATACAATATTAAAACAAAAATCTTCTCAGATAATTTAATTTTCAATATTTTAATTCATAATTAAATTTAAAAAAGACTGTCACTTCTTTGTGCATAAAAAAGAGACAGCATTTGCTAATTTAATTATCAACTAAAATATAGAAAATTAAATTATTCAAGCGCGTTTGTCTCGCAATTCTCGATGCATACCTCATATTTTCTTTTTTATAAATCTGAGAGTAGCGCACTCTCAAAATTTCGTCGAGTTGAAAACGTATAAATTGCTAATATGGGAAAGGGAGAACAAGAGCGCAATTCTTAGAACATACATGATGTCTCATATGAAATTGTCGAAACTAATCAGCTGCCATTTTTTAATGTATGCAGTTATTGGAAAAACCAAAATTGTGTTAGAAATTGGAAAGTCTACAGTTTTTAATAAATGTAAATAAAATGTTTATATAGTTTATTATATTGATAATAAATAATGAAAAAATTGCTAATAATCACATAAACTAAATATAAATATGTTCAACAGTGCCAGATTTAATAGCTGCTATTAATAGGAACATCAACATTAAAAATGACATGTTAGAAGAAATTTTGAAGAGTTTTCATAAAAGAATAGAATTTTGTACAAATCCAAATGGTGCGCATTTCGAAAATATTTATCATTAGTTTACATATGTGATTATTACCCCTTTTTTCATTACTTTTTATCAGTGAACTAAACTGGTATACAAACATTTAATTTATAATTTATATTTATTAAAAGCCGCTAACTTTTCTCTTTCCATCACAATTTTTTATTTCTCAATAACTGCACACGACAGTGTTAAATAACTGCACACGACAATGTTAAATAACGACAGCTGATTAGTTTCAGCAATTATTGGAAGTGGAAACGACGTATCTCTGGTCTTTTCTAGAGCGAGAGAAAAAGGAGATGCACAGAGTGTCCCATAGGATCTGTTCAATTCTCGCCTCCGTGAAGAAAAGTTGGAACGAGACGTAAGTTCTCTCTCGGATTTTTCCCAGCTTACCCAAGGAATCCATTCCTCGCCGGATGCCCGCATAAATGCGGAAGAACGGCCGATATACACGCGTGGACGCGTTCAGCGCCGCGGAATCGGTCAACGCCAATAATGAAATTTACATCGACCGGATAGAGCTGATAGGGCGAGAACGGGTAGGGAGAAAGAAGATTAAAAGTCTTTTTCTATTCTTGTTATTTTATTTCTATTATAATTGTGACAATTAATATTCCATTAACATGAAGTACATCACGCGCATTTAAACAATTTGTATATTATAATTAATGCCAAAAAATATGATTTCATATTATTGAAACACAATATATATACAATCATTTTCATGGTCTGCTTTCCCAGTCAGAAATAATCGGACAAAAAGACATAAAATCGATATCGATTCGACCAATTCGGTGTCGATTTGATATTGATTCGACGTCGATTTAACTATTAATTCTGGCTGGATTATAAGTTAATGGAATAAATATAAAAATGAAAAAATAAAATATAACGTATGTACTAAATATATACGCAAAATAGTATTTTTAAAACTATTTTTTTCCTTAGAAAGAATCGTCATTATGTAAATCATCAAACTTTGGTAAACTATTTCTATAGATCGTTTTGTAAAGAGAGTTTGTGGAATATATAAATTTGTATAATTAAATATTACATAATATATGTATGCATATATATAAATAATATTTTGATGATATGTAACACCTGTATGGTACACATTATATAAATATTAAAGAGAAACAATTATAAAAATGTATATTATACAATCATATAAAGTAGTATATAGATAAATATATATTTGTGTGTATTTTACAGACTTGGTTTGTATTAGTATGTTCTCTATTTAATTTAAATGTATATATATATATATATATATATATATATATTATATATATATATATATATTTCTATAAATACACATTTTTATATATTTATATTAATATACAGTATATATTTTTTGCTAATTGTCAATCAAAATTGTCGGATAATTTGTACATCTATAGAATATTTAGAGAAAAAGTTTATAATAATATTATCAAACTTCTTAACATATTCTTCTCTGATATTTTTCTCCACCATCAATCGAAATAAAAACATAGATTATGTGTACTACACAAATTAATCAGTATTAAAATATAATATTTAAATAATGAAATAAATGATAGATAATAAATTGATAATAAAATATATAGTTAATAAGAATTAATACGATTTACGTTTCAAAATTAATGAGATAATTCTTTCGCAAAACTAAAGATATATATGAAATATCTCAATGATATTTTATCGAGCGAAAATATGTTATAACATTTTCGGCTTAAATATCTCATAAAAATATTTCACATTTATCACGAAGCACAGCTAGTACAGATGACATGATTTTATTTCAAGCGTGGACAAATTTATATCATAATTAAGATTATAAATTAAGATATTAATAATTATAAATTAAGATTATAAATTTATCAAAATATTAATAATTATACATTAAGTTTATAAATTAATGTATGTAGAATGATACGTTTTAGTAAGTATGCTAATAATAATAAAACATACGTTCCGCTACATCAAAGTAACCAACATATTCTGTCTCTTCTGGCGTGATGTCGTTGAGAAATCGGCCGAAGTCAATATCAGAGGTTGAGCGAAACATGTAACGATCATTTGTATAAAACTGCAAAATATAAAGTTTATGAAATTAATGTTATTATGAATTAATGTTAATAAATTAATGTTATTTAATATTATGTCGCATTGAAAATCAAATATCAATGTTATTATTCTCATGTTACTATAATCATATAAAATTTTGAAATATAAATATATGTTAATTTCCATAACATAGTATAAATATATAACAAAACGCGTATAAACTCGTAAATTATAATCAAAGAAAGACATAGAAAATATATGAAAATATAAAGAATATAACAATATAAACAAAAACAATTTATAATTTAATTATACGATTTATATGAAAATCGAGAATTTAAAATTGTATATAACTTAAAAAATTATTTTTTGGATGTGCACAAATAACTTACAAGTCCATCATGTTGTCCTTCAATTATGACTGGATCATTGACTATTACGCCTTTAAATACGTGTGTATTTGAATTACAGTTTATATAATCGTACCATGATGAGCCATTCCTTAGAAATTTGCCCAGTTCTATGTGTCCCCCTTCTATTACGAGCAAACCACCTAACCCTTAAGTATTAAGTATGAAAGATTTATGTATATGTCATTTCTCTGAACTAATATTTTAGTTTTTACTTTGTATTTATTTTGGTAATGAAATTATATAATTTCGTATAAACAATTTTTTACCTATTTTAAAATATAAGCGCTTATGCAAAATATTCTGTATTAATGTTATGATGTTGTAATTGGTTTTGCGTCCTTTAGCGCGTATTTTGAGCACCATTCCCGGTTTTAGGTCACTGAAAAAATGGTTCCCTTCCGCTATATACGGTACTACTTCATTGTTAATTCTTATCATCAAGCGAGTATAAATTTCCCAAATAGATGAATCCCCGGACATTCCTGTTAAAATGTAAAACTATTGTATTTCAAATGAGAAAGATCATTTAAGAATGCTTGTTATATTTCTCACCAGGCCATCCAAAATTGTATGGTTCCCTGGTTAAATCAGGACAAGCAACAATTTCAATTTGAAATTCGTCAAAGTATTCGTGTAATTCGTACAGAACTGTGGCAATATGCAATAACAGATATAAAATATTAAATAGCGAAATTAAGTAATAAATGTTTTATACGTACTATCTTTGATATCTTTAAGAGTAATTGAATTAAATGATGGTATGCATTCGATTTTAACTCTGGGTTCATCTTCAGGCTCATTTTCGGGGTCATTGTCGGGCTCATTTCTGATGCTCATTCGTAATAACGCTGCATTGAGGTCATTTCCGAGCTCTGCTGCAGGGCGATTTTCGTTTTCCTCTCCAGACTCTTTTGGTATGACAAGTTTAGATTCTTTTACAGGCTTTTCTTCCAGCTTTTCTTCGGGATTATTTGTGGGTTCACCTCTGAGATTATTTTCGATTTTATTTTTTTTACTAATGTTTTTTTCACGCGTAACACGTTTTGGCTTATTCGGTTTACCCATAATGCTCAATTCGAGTTTAACGCGATAATGTCGTGCTATGTAAAAATGTTATAATTTATTAGATTGCTATAGAAAAAGCAACAATTATTATATCAGTAAATTATATACAGCACTTAACATGTAGCAGAGTATATCACAATTATTTTTAAAGAGAATATAGTATTATTAATGATGTACATAAATTTCAAGTATATGATGTAAAATTATGTTTAATTGTGTTTTATGACATGCATTTTAAAGAGTAAATTGTAATTAATTTAAGCAAAAATATCTGATATTAAAAATAAAAATTTGTTTATTAAATTAGATTAATTTGAATTTTTGAAGATTCTCTAAGTTTAAAAAAAACATTTATAATTATTTTTAAAGAAATATTTGAATTAGAAGAAATGATATATATATGTTCCTAGGTTCTGAGGTTATTCTTTTTCCGTTATTCTGTATATGTATAATTTACATGCTCAGGAAAAATCTTTAAATGATTTGAAATTTATCAAACACCTTACAATTATATTATAAATTATATAAACGCAAAAAAAATCTGCATATAATTGTAAATGTACATATAAATTATATATATATATAAATATAATAATTTGTACTTACGTTATGAAATGTCTTATTGTTCGATTACTTTAATTAGTATTATCGTCAAACGTGTCTTCTTTCGCTGTTCGCAAATGTATGACTAATCGCACAGGTCGTTTTAGTATATATTATTCTCTCAAATGTAACCGAAAGCGGAAAAAATAACAACAAAATATGAAAACGGTCAAATGTACAAGTCGATATCGATTAGAGTTATTGTAAATATATCTTGAATTTACCAACGAATTTTAATACAAATACTTATACAGAGTGTCTCATATGAAATTACTTAAACTAATCAGCTGTTATTCTTCAATGCATGCAGTTATTAAGAAATATTTTCAACAGTGCTAGGTTTAATAGTAGCTATTAATAGGATCATCACAACATTAAAAATGACATGTTAGAAAAAGTTTTAAAGAATTTTTGTAAAAGAATAGAATTTTTTACAAATTCAAATGGTGCGCATTTTGACAATATGTATCATTAGTTTACATATGTGATTATTAGCTCTTTTTTTATTATTTTTTATCAGTTAAATAAACTGGTATACAAATATTTCATTTATATTTATTAAAAGCTGCAGACTTTTCTTTTTCCAACACAATTTTTCATTTTGCAATATCTGCACACATTAAAAAACGACAGCTGATTAATTTCAGCAATTTCATTCTGTGTATCTCTTTCTCCCGTTTCAGAAAAGACCAAATATCGTTTTTTTTTCGCGCTTCCGTGAAAAGGAGTTGGAACGAGACGTAAGTCCTCTCTCGGATTTTTCCCAGCTTACTCGGAGAATCCATTCTCCGCCGGATGCTCGCATAAATGCGGAAGAGCGGTCGATATACACGCGTGGACGCGTTCAGCGCCGCGGAATCGGTCGACGCCAATAATGGAATTTACATCGGCCAGATAGAGCTGAGAAGGCGAGAACGGACTAAGGGGTAAAGAGGAGGACAAGAAACTGTGAGGTAAAGTGCCCAGTTGCACAACATAACGCGACGTAATCTCTGGCATCGCGATGGACGCGACGCAACTCCTTTTTCATCCCTTCATATTTGCTGGAAGCGCGGATATTTGGATGAAATCGATATCCCTACTATTCTGGGATTTCCCTCTCTTGCCCTTTGGCCCTTTCCACTCCTGCTAGTTATTTCTCTTTCTCTTCTTGTACCTTCCTCTCTCTTTTTTTTGCATCGAGCCTTCTCGGCCCGCCGATAATCCCACCCCGTTTTGTCCTCCTCTTAGGACCAGACTGTTGGAGCCAGAGCGCCGGCTAGTCTAGCCAAATAAAAATTGAGAGTCGTCTGGCACCCGCCAAATAGGAGGCGATATCCTGTCTAAAGATAACTAGGCATAAGGTCTAACTCTAAACATGTCTAATCTGGGGATGTTAACCTTGCTATTACAGCATCGATGTCTACTTCTGGTAGAAATGTGCAGAGTGTTCCAAGGGAAATTGCTGAAATTAATCACCTGAAATTTTTTTCATGCATGCAGCTGTTGAGAAATTAAAAATTGCGTTGGAAAGAGGAAGGTCTGTAGTTTTTAAAATGTAAATAAATGTTAGAATTTTTTTTTTTTTAAAGACAGTAAAGAAGAAAGAGAGGAAGAAAAGTTAAATATATAATTTTATAAAAGTACCAACATTGATTTATCTTTTATACTAGTTTGTCGTATATATATTTTTACTTTGTACATAATAAAAGTATGAAATATAAAGTGCATGACAGTTTTTATTGTTTATAATTTGCGTTTATGATTTTATGTTAACGATTGAGTGATTGCGTGACAAAAAGCCTGATGTAGTAAGAAATTGTTGACTCATACTACTTAATCTATTTATATTCTAACTTTGCATATAATAAAATTATGTGAAGTACGTGCATTTTTTATTAATTTTAATTTGCGTTTATGATTTTATGGTAATATTTAAGTGATTGCGCGACGAAAAGGCTGAGTGTTGTGAAAATCGTTGACTGGTATTTTGTACTTAATCTATCTACATTCGTAATTTGCGCATAATAAAAATACGATATATGAAATGTTTTTGTTTTTTATACATATATATGATTCTATGCTAAAAGCTGAGTGATTGGGTGACAAAAAGTTTGCACGTGGTGAGAAATTGTTGACTCGTACTACTTAATTGATTTACATTTTTATTTTGCGCATAATAAAAGAACGATATATAAAATGCATATAATTTGTATATTTCTTTGACTTGCATTTATGATTTTATGTTAATGGAAGAATGATTCCGAGACAAAATAATTAAATTAAGTGAGACATTGTTGACTCGTACTACTTAATCTAACTATATTTTTAGTTTGCATAATAAAATTGCAATATACGATGTGTGTGCTCTTATTATTGCTTTGATTCGCGTATATAATTTTACATTATTGGCAGAATAATTGCAAGACGAAAAGACTAAATATAGAGAGACATTGTTGACTCGTACTACTTAATCTACCTATATTCTAACTATGCGCACAATAAAATTACGATATATAAAGTATGTGCATTTTTTATTAATTCTGATTTGCGTTTATGATATTATGATAATATCTGAGTGATTGCACGACGAAAAGGCTAAGTGTCGCGAAAAATGTTGACTGGTACTACTTAATTTATGTACATTCTTAATTTGTGCATATTAAAAGTACGATATATAAAGTGCTTCTAACTTTTTTGTGGTTTCTGACTACACATTTATAATATTATGTTAATGGTAGAATGCATCAATTCTTAACTTACTGGCTCTTGACAAAGAAACAACCAACGGGTTGTCAAAAATCGCGGACGACGCGCAGCAACACGTAGCCTTGTTACACGCGCTAGGAGTCGATATTAATAGTGAGATCGTGGTGCATGTTTTGGAAAGTAAGATACCGAAGGTCACACTAGAAAAATGGGAGGCTACACTTAATCGCGACGAATTCCCGAAAGTAGATCAGATCTACAAATTATTATATAAAACGGCAGTGTGCGCCTCGAAACGAGAGCGTATAAAGGCGAAGGAGACGCAAGGAAGATCGTGCAAGGTCGCAATTAAAAAGAGATATTTCGGCACCGCGAATAAGGCGTTCGTAATAAATACGGCACGTGGTTGCATTATGTGCAAGAATAAGAAACATCCCTTGTTCTTATGCGATAGATTTAAGGCGCTCTCGGTCGTGGATCGGATTGAGATCGTGAGAAAGGCAAAAATATGCTACCATTGTCTGCGTTCGCATCGTGATCAAGCCTGCAAATATTCGAATTGCACTATTTGCAATAAGCGTCATAATACGTTGTTGCATCAAGAGGATCGATCAAACGCGAATAAGACCGACGCGAAAATGAACGCGAACGTAAATACGGTATGACTAGACAATGCGGACGTTGGTATCGCGAGACATAACGCTACAATTAGTGACCAGTGCGATGATTTATGTTGAGAACAATGCGAGCGATGTTATTAAATGTCGAGCGTTATTGAATACGTGTGCTACAGCTAATTTCATTTCGGAGAGCTTAGTAAAACGGTTAAGATTGTCGGTGAAAGGGCAAAGGACAACCATAAGCATGATCAATTCGCTTCATACGGCATCAGAGGGCATCGCAGAAATTACCATACGGTTAACGTGTACCGAGTTCAGTAAAGATATAACATGTATTGTGATACCAACCATAGTTAATTTAATGCCGTCCGAAATTATATCGCGAAGAAATATTAACATCCCACCGAACATTAAGCTGGCTGATCCCAAGTTTCATCTGTCGCGCGCGATAGATGTATTAATCGGATCCGGCGCTACGCTGGCATTATTTTCAGTCGGACAAATTAATTTATCGGTTTCGGGACACGAGCTGTACTTACAAAAGACAAGATTAGGTTGGGTGATCGCAGGTAGTATGGCATTGTCGACATCAACGGTCAGTAATACGTGCTATTTAACGAAACTGTGATCTTTGATAGATATTTATCGTATTCTAAATTAATTAGATTTGTTGCATATTGTTACGTTTTTGTCCCGCGAATAGACGCAGCAGAAATCCGAGTTTCGAAATTTATACAAGATTCTCGGACAAAATACATAGAATTACGAACGCGTCGTCCAGATCGAAGGGTAAACTAGACAAATTAAGTCCCATGTTAGATAAAGACGACCTGCTGCGTTCAAAACACCGTATCGTGTGGCATTTTATACCACCCATGGCTCCGCATTTCGGCGGACTATGGGAAGCAACAGTAAAATTGTACAAACACCATTTCAAGCGCGTAATAGGCGACTCACTCTTCACATTTGAGGAATTAAACACATTTACGATCGAAATCGAGGGTATACTAAATTCTCGATTTATAGTTGCATTATTATCTGACTCGAATGATTCACTTGCATTAACACCTGCTCATTATTTAATTGGCAAACCGTTAACTGCCTTTCCGGAGGAGGATTTGTCAAATATTCCAGACAATCGGCTATCTACTTGGCAACACATCACCAAGGTTAGACAAGATTTTTGGTCACGATGGCACTTGAAATACTCAAATGAGCTGCAAATAAGGAGCAAATGGGTCAAAGACGGACCATCGGTACAGAACGGATCAATCGAACTTTTCAAGGAAAAGAATTTGTCACCAACACAATGGGCATTGGGCAAGATCGTGGAAGTAATCCCGGAGAGAACGGTACCATACGAGCCGTTGTCGTCAAAACAGCGAACGGATTACTAAAGATGGGGACAAAATATATGTCTTCTTCTTGTCGATACGTAATGACAAACGATGCGATTGTACTAAATTGTACTTATAATTCTATCCGTTCTTACAGTCAAAATATAAGCGAATTATACAACAGGACGCATAAACACAATCGCAACTCAGGCATGTACATGATATGGTTACGTAAAGCCAGTCAAAATGACCCAAGGCGTCGTCGTGAACCACAACCCCGACAACATTCTCTTAGGCGTAATAAAAAAAAAAAAAAAAACGACGCAGAGATGCTGTTCAGGCGTTGTTGTGGGTGAATCATGCAGAAAACAGCCCTAACGCTATCTGATACGCGTAGCCACTACGTATAGGATGATCAATGTT